GTGGCCCCCAGCAGATTCTCCTTCAGGGAGAGAAAACGTGGCCCCCCCAGGTCCCCACCCAGGGCATACCGCAGCGAGGAGGGTTTTGCAGACTGGCACTAAACCCCGTCCCCATGCACAGAAGCAGCCGGCAACCCCAAAGCATATGGTGCAACTTTTCGTGGCTCTGAATTACCTCCTCAGCATTTAGAATCCTGGCCCAGCCTAGCAGCTTCCTTCTGGTCGTCAGAAGTGATATAGTCACAGTTTTGACAGGTGGGGGTAGGGACAGCCATATGTTGCCTCCCGATGTATATATATAGAACAGCCACTACACACAGAGAATGGTGTAGTATTATGCAATAAGATGAAACATAGCACCAACTTGCGGACTGTGGCATTTCCCCCAGATTTGGAAATTGCAGTGGTGAGGGGCTTAGCTGGCCTTTCTCAGCCCAAAGTTAGTCCATTTAGCACAGAGCACAGGGCAGCTACTTCTAATGGCGGGCAGTCCAGGGCACCTGTGAGGAGGGGAGCGCTGAGGCTGCAGGAGCCCTGCTGGGCTTTAGCTGGCTAATCTCTAGGCTCGGATAGGATCTTGAATCCCCCAACCGTCCTTTCTTTCACAAGCTCATCCACAACAGGCCTTTTCAATATTAACCAGGAATATCTGAGTCTCCTCAGACAAGATATTTCTTTGTTGGTGTGGATTTTTTTTTTTTTTTCTTAACTACTGTTGATGAGTTCAACTTTTCCCCCTTTGAGAGATCATGGGGTTGCTGGGCGCAGCCCTCCAGCTTCTCCTCCTCCTCTGAAGGAGGCAGCTCTGCCAGCTGCGTTCTTGGGAACCAGGGCCTGCAGCACCAGGAACCCAGAAGAAGCCATCTTGCAAATGTCAGCGTGTTTGATTCCAGAGGCCATGATGTGTTTGGGGTCAGGAAAGACAGAATCCCTTTCTAAATATTGTTTATCAAGAGGATTTGTCTTCTCCATGGCGCCTGTTGGAGGTAGAGGAAGGCAGGAGGGAGGGAGCTGGTGAAACTGGTGGATGGAAGTAATGTTAGGATTAAAGTTTTGCTCTCAGGCTGAGGGACAGATTCTCCCAGACTTGTCTTCTGCAGCACGGGGGCCCCTGACCTGGAGGAAGGCCAGATACCCAGGCTTCATTGAAAGGATGGTGGTCTGGGGCTGTAAACAAACACTCCCTCTGGCCATTTTTCTCATCTATGATGAGGGCAAGGACAGGTGCCAGAGTTTATACAGGCACGGCGTGACCCACCAGTAGGCAGAGCTTCTGATAGGAAGTCTTAGAAAAGCACCGCCTCACCGCCTCCAGCTCGAGCCATGCTGTGAAATCTCTCTCCCTGGCAAATGTGCCTGGAACACACACATACACAAACATGCACGCATGCGCTCACGCATACAGCATTTGAGTCAAACTTGAATGTCAAACTCTTCTTTCCCCTTCTAGTTCATGGCAGGAAGGGAAAGCTTACCTGAGATCTCAGTGCCTCTCCAGCTATTTTGGGTAATTTCTGGTTTGAGTTGGGATTAGTTTTTAAACATGGGCCCTAATCTAGGGTGAAGCCAGTGAAGCAGCACTGGCCAGGAGAGAGGTCAGTCTTGCTAAATACTGAATGGTGGGCTCCTGTGAAAACCATGCTTTCAGGATTCACTGTGACTGTCAGGCCAGCCCAGCAAGTGCCCCCACATCCAAGCCATGGTTGTGGTCACAGTGAAGGGATTGCCCACTCAGAGGGGCACATGTTCTCTAGGGCAGGGCCCTCTGACAGGACCTGGAAATAAAATCCACGTTTATCCCTTTAAAAAAGGGAATGATTAAAAGGCATTCAATTAGAGGTGTTACCTAGGCAACAGGAAATAACTTGGGGATCAGAGCTGTCCAGAAAGGGAAGAAGAGATCCCCATGATAGAGGCATCTAGATAGTGAGGACTTGATCTGGGGGCAAAATAACAGCGTACGCACAGTAAGTGAGCCCCAGCAACAGTCCAGCAACCTAAAACCCAGGCATCAAGACTGTGTGAGCTAGACAGGCCTAAAGAGACCTCCAGGCAATCCCCCGCCCAGCGTGCAGCACTACACAGAATCCTGGTCTCCATGGGAGGAACCAGGACCCACCTCCAGAGAAGAAAAACTCGAAACATTTCTTGGCAGTCTTCTCTGTTGGCGGTGCTTCCTAGACTCTATCCCAAGTTGCTTATGCTGCAGCCTCAGCTGTTTTTACTTCTTTTCTTATGCTTTGGTTTTGGAAAGAGGCAATTGAAGGCAGCTTGAGCAATCTTCTAAAGGAATCGTAAGCGTGGTTTCAAGGGGCAGGAAAATGAGACCCTTCCCCTTCCCACCCCCCAACTTCCCAGAGAAACGCCAGTCCTCCAAGGTACAGTGGCAGCTCAGGATCCAGTGGCACATGTTTATTTTTGCCTATGTTCCCCTGTCCCCATCCCCCAACCCAGTCTCAGTCACATGATGCCATGATACATCACGCCATCGTCCCTCATCTCAGGCCAAAGGGCTCAGTGCCCCAGACGCCAGGGGCTGCTTCACTGAAGCAGGCATGTGGTTCTCCCATCATTTCAGGAACAGGGAGATGCATTTCTTTGGTGCAGGTTCTTCTAGACCTCAGACCAAAAAACAGCTCCATTCCCTCAGATGCTGTGGCCTCTCTCACTATCCTGGGGGTCTCGTTTTTCCCACCACTGGTAGCTCACTGTAGCCTACAATTTCCTCACGCTCCCGGAGTTGCTTCCTAACCTTAGGCCTGAACTTACCCATCATGCCGGCGCTGTGGGGCTCCCTTAAAGGTGGAATGAGCTCCAAGAAGCCCTCGCCATATGACTGTGGCCACATAGAAGCCAGAGTCTTGGCGAGCAGCCTTCTCAGAGCTGAGCAGAAAGGTAAAGAAGCCACCCTGGGTGTCCTAGCTTGCTAAAGCGAGGTGGCCAGGCCTTTGTGTCCTCTGAATGAAGCAGTGCCTCCAGGCCTGGAAAGGCATCAGAAGGCTTAGGCAATCTCAGGCTCTCATATTGTGGAAAATGCCGGGCAGCCCTGGGCATTTGCACAGTATCATGCATATATATATACACACACATACACACACATACACACCAGCCTTACAAAGAGCTACTATCCCTTTTCCCCAAGGAAAAGTCTCAGTCTGGGCCACTTTAAGAAGAAAGATTTCCCATTTTAACTCCCTAGAGATGTACCAGGGCCTGGAAAATCCCTCTCTGCCTTGGGGGAGTTTTATGTACAATTTGCATGTATTCAGGTTTCACACAGAAGCCAGCATCCAAACCCAAGCCAAACCCTGGAAAATAGCTGCTGAATTGACCCAGGATCCTCCATCCTTCAGACAGGCCTCCCAGCAGACCCCCTCTTCCTGTGGGCTCTGGGGTGAGGGGTGATTGAGCCCTCATGGCCAAAAGAGAAGCTTCTGGGGAACTGAGGCAGACGGCAGCCCAGCCAGGCAGAGACCATAGGAGCGACGGGCCCTGTGGTTCGATCTTACTGTAACTTTTTACATTCTTAAAAAACAAAAAGCACAATTCCACATGCACACTGTCTGGAAAGCACAGCCAGACAGCCAGCCTAGGGCACTTCTGAGTCCAGAAGAGGCGCTGGGGCTTTATCTGTTGCAGGGTTGTTGTTTTGTTGTATAATGTGCTCGTGGTGACTCTGAAGGCTCCTCACTTTGTAGGGTGGAGAGGGAGGGAGGGAGGGCCTGCTGAGGCCATTCCTGACCCCCAGGGTGGGCTCATCAGCATGGACTTGGGGCCTGGACTGTTGCCCCTGGAGCAGCTCTGGCACCTTCAGGCACCCCAGAGCACAATTGCTACATCTTCCACGCTAGTCTCATGCATTGAGGATTTCTGCACTCGGACCTGGCCCGAGACCCTCTTACCCTTCCCCTTCTTCCCTAAGGAAGCTCCCCATTGCTTTACAAATCATTTTTTATGCTATATGTTCTCTCAGGAGGGGGCTAGAGCATGCGGGACAAGCCTGCAGGGTTTCTCAAACAATACATCTATTTTTCTGAGCAGCACTCCAAGAGAGGACTTAAAGGGTGTTTAAATTAACGATGAATAAAATGCAGCCTGCCACTCCTCTGAGCTGTTTGCTTTCTGTCTGTCAGAGCCGCCTGCCTCCCCATCTTCCAGTTCACACCTCCTCTCTGGAGGGCCTGGGGGACTTCACCTGTTAGGATGGGGCCCAGTGGCAGCTCCACTGGGAAGTTACTCTACAAAACAACAGTGAAACAGAGCCCAGGGCACCAAGGGACCTCCTGGGCAGCTTGGCCAGGCTGGGCCAAGGCTGGGGGACTGGGAGATGGATCCAACCTGACTGTGCACGAGGCTCTGCAAATGGAGCTTTAAAGGATCCTGAGGCCCGGGCCCTACTCCCAGGACTCTGATTTCATTGGTCTAAGGAGCAACTCAGGCCAGCCCTGGAATTTTTTGGGGGGGATTCTAATGGGCAGTCATGGACTTGAATACACCCTGTAAACACAGAGCACTCACATTATGGTGGTGTAGAAGGAGCGTTCACTAAGAAACTAGGAGTTCTGAATTCTAGTTTTGGATCTGGCAGTCATTTAGCTCACTCTAATCCTGTTTCCCCATCTCCAAATTGGGATAATGGTACCATCCCCCCCACCTCCCAGAGGTCTTACGAGAAATAAATGAGGGGCTGGAAACTCTGAAAAGTGTAAAGTCCTCCACCATTGCAAGATGTCACAATTATAAGCGGCATTTCATGAGGATATGGGACCAGGTTGCCCTATTGCTTCTGCATGGGGTCCTTCCCACAGTGTCAGCTGCGGATGATGTTCTTCCAGCAGGTTGCTTTTGCCCTGGTTGCCTTTGCAAACCCCTTCTTTTCAGAAGCAGCTTACTTGCCCTAATAATAGTGCAAACTCTACTGAGGCCTTCTCTCCCCTCTACATCCCCCTCCTTCTTTTCCTTCAATCTTCCCTAGAAATGAGAAGTAATTGACCGTCAGGCTCACACTGGCCCCACCCATCTCTATCTACAAGATCACTCCCCACTCCCCTGGGCTCCCCACCCTGTTAAGCATGACCACTCAGAAGCACAAGCTCCCCCATCTTCTATCTACAGCAGGGACTTTCATGACATCAAATGATAAAACAAGAAGTTTTATACAACTATACTGTACAGATCTTGCACTATTTTTCATTCTGGTATTGTTTTGTTTTAACCCATTTATGTTGGAGGTTGCAAAATTTTGTGTAAAAAATCAGACCTTGGCGATGACCTTAAGCAGTGGGATGTAAATAACTCCCACAGGCTTAGTGTTCCAATAATGGAACGCTAGGCATACATGGGTTAATGCTGGTCAAAGCTATTAAACTGATTTCATGATCTGCCTATGAATTACACCCAGCAATCTGAGAAACACTGGCTTATAGTGTTTCTGGAAAGAGGCCTTCCTGTTAGCTTCCAGCCAAGACCCATTAGCTAGGCTGCCATGATGCAGAGGTCTGAGTTCTGAGTTCTGAGTTCTGCCATGATGCAGAGGCCTGAGTTCTGAGCTCTCCTCTCTGTTGGGGTCTCCAGCTGTGCCCCAGTTGTGTGATGGGCACAGGTGGCTGTTTTACCTGCATGAAGTAGCCTAGATGGTCCTTGGGTTCCTTTCAAGTTCTAAGGCTTGTGATTCCTATAACATTTCATACGACACTCCAGTGATCCCTGGATGGACTGCCGTTCCTCTCCCTTCTGTGGCCAGTTACCTTTCTATGAGCATATCTAACAAGCAGATTTTAAAAAGGAACTTTTAGCTGGGCATGGTGGCTCATGCCTATAATCCCAGCACTTTGGGAGGCTGAGACAGGTGGATCACTTGAGCCTAGGAGTTCGAGACCAGCCTAGGCAACATGTCAAAACCCTGTCTTTACTAAAAATACAAAAAATTAGCCAGTCATAGTGGTGCACGCCTGTAGTCCCAGAGACTCAGGAGGCTGAGGTGGGAGGATCACCTGAGCCCAGGAAGTCGATGTTTCAGTGAGCCATGATCATGCCGCTGCACTCCAGCCTTGGTGACAGAGTAAGACCCTGTCTCAAAAAGAAAGAAAAAAAAAAGAAAAAGAGAAGAAAAAAGAAGTTTATATTTACCAAGCCAGGTCCCTGGACAAGAGACTTGCATATTTATCTTATTTAATCCCCTGGCCAATCTTGGAAATTTTTTTTTTTTTTTTTTTTTTTGAGACGGAGTCTCGCTGTGCTCCCAGGCTGGAGTGCAGTGGCGTGATCTCGGCTCACTGTAAGCTCCGCCTCCCGGGTTCACGCCATTCTCCCGCCTCAGCCTCCCAAGTAGCTGAGACTACAGGCACCCGCCACCACGCCCGGCTAGTTTTTTTTTTTGTATTTTTAGTAGAGACGGGGTTTCACCATGTTAGCCAGGATAGTCTCGATCTCCTGACCTCGTGATCCACCCGCCTCGGCCTCCCAAAGTGCTGGGATTACAGGCTTGAGCCACCGCGCCCGGCCCAATCTTGGAAATTTAACACTTGCCTCCCATTTTGTCTTGGGTCAGAGAGGTCAAGTAACTCATCTAGTTTGGGGTCAGGTATCCCCTGTGTTAGGGGCTGGAGAGACAAGGGTGAGAAAGACAGGACAGCCCTTGCTGTCCATGGACTCCAGGCTCCTGGAGGCTGATGGGGGCAGAGCGCTGCAGTACAGCCTGCTGAGGGCTCCCTGTCCACCAGGCATTCTGGGCTGCCATGGGCACACCAAAGAGAGGCAGCCACCCAGCCTGGGTAGGCAGAGAAGGCTCTCAGAAGCAGCTGTCCATGCTGAGCCTGAGAGCAGCAAGCCTGCTGACAAGGAGCAGGAAGAGCAGCCCGGGCAGAGCAGTGTGTGGGGAGAGCAGAGCAGGGACTTGTTGGGGGAACCATATGTAGTTCTGCAGGACTGGAACACGCAGAGCAAGGGAGGTAATGGGGTGGGGGGTGGGGGCAGATAGCGAAGGGCCTTGTAAAACAAAACAAAGACTTTTTGCCTAATCCTAAGGACACTGGCAAGCCAGTGGAGGGGTTTTAAGGATGCGTGTGCTGCCGAAAATGACTCAGAATGCAGGAGTGGAGGAGGAAAGCAGATGGCAGGGTGGACCGAGGTAGTGCTAGTGAGAACAGAGAGAAGTGGAGATATTTGAGGGACACCTGAAAGGGTAGGTCCACAGAATCAATGCTTTGCCTGGATGGGGATGATAAGACTGAGAGAGAGGAATTGGGATGGAGCCAGGTCTCAGGCTAAGCAGGCAGGTAGACAGTGGTGCCACCACTGAGCCTGGGAACCCAGGAGGAGGAATAGAAGAGGTGATGAGTTCAGTGAAGAAGAAGTTAGACTTGAGGGGCCCATGAGATAACCATGGGGGAGGGGTTTCCACCAAGCAATTGGCCTTCTGAGCCTAGAGCTCGTAACAATGATCCAGGCTAGACCAACATTTTGGAAGTTCTCAGCACCAAGACGATGTGAATCACTCAGGCTGTGCGTGTGTAGAATGAGATAAAAAGAGGATCACAACCAGCATTTAAGGGACAGGAGGAAGAAGAAAAAAGACTAAGGAAAGAGGGTCAGAGATGTGGGAGAAAACCGAGAGCATGGGATGCCACAGAGCCAGGGGAAACAAGGGTTTCAAGAAGGAATGAGTGCCAAGTGCCACTGAGTGATTAAGACAAGGACTGAAGAAAACACCCAGAAGATTTATCGAAGGGAGATATCAGTGACCTTGGCAGAAGCAGCTTCAGGGGGGTGTCAGCTTCTTTAGAACTGGTGCTGCCTGGCTAATTTTCATGGGTCACACATTAGGGATACTAGTTAGGATACAAATTCAAGCCACTCTAACAGAGGTTCAAAATAATACTGGCTTCCGTGGGTAAAAGTTCATGTCTCTCTCTTAAGAGTGAGTGCAAGCATAATCTATGTAGTATCAGACACCCAGCTACTTCTATCTGTACACATCATTTGTGTTCCTTTGCCATTGGCCAGAACTTTGTCACATGACCTAATATAGCTGCAAGAGAATCCAGAAAAGGCACCTTTTATTCAAAGTGGCCATGTACCAAGTGGGGCTGGTGCTCCTAAGAAGAGTATTGTTCATCTCATGTTCAGGCCAGCAAGGGGACATTAGGCAGCTGCAGTGGGACCTCTGAGGGGTGACAATGAGGGTAGTATGATAGCTGCCTGTTGTTACTGGATTGATTTAGACTTCAGTTGGAAACAGAAAGGGAGTCCCTTCCTCTCTCCTCCCTCTTCCTGCCCTCCCCCACCAACAAGCTCTCCCGGTGGTAAACCTGTTTGGAAGGACTCCAGCAAGGAATTCTGGGAAATGTAGTTTGCTCAGCAATGCAGAGCAGAGTTCAGAGGCAGTGGGTGTACAAGAACACATCATCCCATTAGCACACTTTAGCCATTGTGAAGTTCCCAGAAGGTGCTTTCTCACTGTAAGTCCTGGAATCTGGGCAGAGAAAGTTATATTCCTGACTCCTTTGTGGTCCATTTTTGAGAGCTTCCTACTCCACTTTTAGGGAGATGTTTACAGAAGGGATGTTTGTAGAGTTACAAGTGAAAAACTTAACCAGAAGGCAACAGACACCAGGTCATGAGAGCTCACTGCTGCACCTATTCTGTCTCTCTGGCTGACTGCAAGCAGATCTCGTTCCCCTACGAAGTTTTCTTTTCCATGTCAGCAAAATGAGACACTGGTCTTTTGGCTCTATCGCTCTGAGGTTCTGAAAGGAAGGAGAAGAGAGGAGAAAATGTAGGAGTTCCACGGGGATTTCCATCAAGAATGATACTCAGCAAACATCTGCCGAGTACCTGACCCAGCTTAGACAGTTTGTTTCAATTCTTTTTTCTCCATGGACTGGGAGGAGCAGGACCAGCCACCTGGATGCAGGATGGAAGGAAATGTCCTCCATAAGGCCGTGTATGGTCTAGGAGCTAGAACCTGTCGGTTGACAACTATAGAAGCAGTGATATCCCAGTCATATCGCTAGGGGCAGGCTCAGAGAAGTCCTGGAGAGGCTGCTTCAGATCTGAGTTCCATGCCAAGCACTGGGTTGCTCTGTGCTTCACCCAGCTCTACTTCTCCAGCCCTTCATTCCTTTTCTATCTTCAGCCTGGCAAAGAATAAGCTATTCTTCATTTATTCTGGGCAGCCAGTTAATATTAATACCAGGGTTAATAGATCTGTTTCTTCCATACGCCATCTTGTCTTCTCCTCCACCTAAAATTGCTCTAAGATAAGTTCTTAAAAATCCTTCTTCTCATGGGCAGGTCACAGTGCTGCTGTGTTCCACCGAATAAAGACAAACCACGAGAGCTGGTCATATTCATAGCTGACCAACTACCTGCAGTGAGAGTGTAGGGGTGTTGAGATAGCCCCCAGGGCAGATCCTGGAGCCTTGACTTTTGTGTACCCAGGATGCTTTCCTGTCCCTTTCTTCTAGGGACACTATCTCTGTTCTTGTAGATAACTCCACTCATCTCCATGCAGTCTAGTGGACCTGCCAATCACAGGGTCCCTCCTGTATCAGTTATGAAAGCATTCAACTGCAATGAACAGAAAACCCATTGAAGGGTAGTTTTAAGAAATAAAAATCAAGGTTTATTTCATTACCATAACCAGAACTCTGGAGCAGGTGGTCTGGGGCTAGCACAGTGACAGTGATGCCATCAGTAAGGCTGGCTCCTCCTTCCCGCTCTGCCATCCTTTCCATGTTGGCTTGCCACCCCAGGTGCCAGATGGTAGCTACCCCTCCAAGGCTCACATCCATGTTACTAGTAGCAAGAAGTAGCAGGGAGAAGGTAAAAAATGTTCTCTCCCAACAGGACTTTTCCTAGGCCTCCCTAGGACTTTCCGCTGCATCTCATTGACCAGAAGAGAGTCACATGATCGTCATCACCTATAAGGGAGGGAGGCAGAGAATGTTGTGTTTTCAGTCCCCTGTACAAGAGGACAGCATAGGGGAGGGGATTGGGATGGGTGTGAAGTGAGAATGCGCACAGTTCCTGCTGCCTCCTCATCAAGGCTGGATTAATCACGGTTCCGAATTCTCAGAGATACAGCCATTGCTCTAAGGGAGGGTGCATGCCTCAGGTCGGGGGGTAGGGGGAAAGTCCCCTGGCCTGACACAAACTGGAGGTGGTGGAGTAGCCCTTTCTTGTCTTGGTTTATAAATTAGGCCTGGCGGCATGAGTCAGGGTGAAGTTAACACAATAGAATCCAGTCCAGCTGATTTAAGCAGAAAAAGACCTATCATTGGCGATCAACTCCAACCTGGCCACCTAGCTCTCTGACACTGACGACCTGACTGGGTGACAGAATTGTGACTCCAGCACATCACGCCACAGTCCTCAGGCAGGGTCTTACGTGCTAAGGAGAGACACCTGGACACCACAATCCTGCGCCAGGTACCATCTGCACACAGCAGGCCACCTCCAGCCAGCTAATACTGATACAACTGACGTGTTGGCAGCCAGCCGACATCACTCAGAGACTGTGCTTTCCTGCTATGGGACAGAGAATTTGCAATCTGTTGGTTTTCAAAGACCTACCCCATTTCTCCTCCCCCGTCTCATCCTGAACTACCTTCCAAGACCCTGGCCTGAATCA